TTAAACATTGTCTTTTAATGATGTAAGCCTCCTTGGACCTTTCTTAAGGAGAAAAGTAGGGTAAAACTACTTTAAACGAACAAACAAACAGTTGCAATTTACTAGAACCTTCTAATTTACCCATCTTCATAGTATGAAATGTAATCAATATAAACAAAATTTAGGTATTTGTATAGTAATAGAAGAGTTTTAATCATTTAAAGGTCTTTCCAAACCCTTGGGAAGTTGTTCAAATTATGTTTCGTCACTAATCTGCATCACAGTACTTTCTCTTCTTTCCTCACCCACCACTATCAGCTACCTATACTCTTTTACCACTACTTGCAATATATGGGTCACTTACCCCTGATTTGGAAGTGGAAAATTTATTTTAAACTAAATAAATAAGACTACATGATTTTTTAAAAATTCGTGTCCTGTTAGGTAAGGGAAGATTGTAAGGAAGGGGATTTGGATCAGGGTATTGGGGTAAATAAAAAATACAAAATGTGATAGAGAACAGTATATATCATTATTACATTTTTCGATGTTTCCTACTAAGCTTACTTCACATTTATCTTACCATTACTTTCGAAATCTTTAAAATCCAAAATTATATCTTATATTTTCTTTCTCATAATTTTAACCAATTCATGTTCTCATAATAAGGGACATGAGTTTAATAAGAAAGCAGATGAAAAAGAAATAATTTAGTACCCTGTAAATATAATGTCACACATGGGATTGTTCAGGAAACAAATAAGAAGCACAGTAAATGTGTTTTTCCCTCTTAGTAATACCACTTTAAACTCATGAACTAACATGACATAATCACAAATTAAAATTATTAAATATTTTTATAGCTGTTTGCATTGGAGAAACCATCTGATAATGAAATTAATAACCATATGTGTTTTAAAATGGATTTGAACTCTGTATAGTGTCTCTATCATGTCTTTTACCTTAGTGACTGACTGTCTAGGAGGTGACAGTACTGTAAATAGAATGGATTCTATTTTGTTGCTTCTAAATCTGTTTTTGCAATGCTTTTAACTAAAACTTTTAATATAATGCTATTAATTCTTCTTTAATATGTGAATAACTGTTTTTAGATTTTAATATTGTGTTTTAAATTATGTAAAGGTCCGTTTTAGGAGAAAGGCAGAGGAAAAACTTTAAACAAACAAGCAAACAAACAAATTTGTTGTTGTTGTTGTTCAGACACACCAGGCATAGTCAATCAAAATTATAGAAACATTGACTGGTATTACATAACAGATACAAGTTGTAACCAAAAAGCTAAGTATCTGTTAAATACTGGTGCAATATGTATTATTATTATTATTATTATTATTATTATTATTATTATTATTATTATTATTATTATTATTATTATTATTATTATTATTATTATTATTATTATTATTATTATTATTATTATTAGGGCAAGGGAGAGAATACAAGATCTACGAATTTTTGGTTACAGTTGTCCTTCCATCAGGTGAATGATGATGGGATATTGGTTGAACAATACCTGGAGGCCACATCCTTATCTTTATTTTTCTTTATGTGTTATTTTGGTATGCTAGATCAATGGATCACGTATAAAGTAAAGCGAAGTGTGCTGCTTATATACTGCCCCATAGTGCTTAAAAGACTCTTGGCGGTTTATAATTTAAGTATGCAGCCTACATATTACTCCTTCCCTAAGTGAGCTGGATACTCAATTTGCTGACTTCAGAAGTATGAAAGGCTGAGTCAACCTTGAGCCAGCTACCTGAATCTCTTGGGATCAAACTCAGGTTGAGAGCAGAAACTTGGCTGCAGTATATCAGTTTCACCTCTGTGCCATGGCATTCTTCACCCCCATGGTGCACAAGTACAGTGGTGCCTCGACATACGAACTTAATTGGTTCTGGGTCTCCAGTCATAACACAAAATGGTCGTAAGTCGAAGCACCATTTCCCATAGGAATGCATTGAGATGCAATTAATCTGTTCCGGCCGAAAGAAAAAATCAGCAGAAAACCCCACAAAAAACACTGCAAGACCCATTGGAAATGCAATTAATCCCTTCGGGCTGAAGGGGGGGGGGAGAAAAGCAAACAAACCATGCAAGACCCTTTGAAAATGCAAAACAAAGCAAAGCAAAAAGCACACAAACCATGCAAGACCCATCAGAAATGCAAAAAAGCAAACCAGAAAGCAAACAAACTGTGAAATACCCTTCAGAAATGCAAAAAAAGCAAAGCAGAAAGCAAACAAACCATGCAAGACCCATTGGAAATGGCAGAAAAGGAAAGCAGAAAGCAAACAAGACCTTTCAGAAATGCAAAAAAAGCAAAGCAAAAAGCAAACAAACCCCACAAGACCCAGTGGAAATGGGGGGAAAACCCAAAAAACAAACCCTGCAAGACCCATCACAGCATAGAAACATAATCCCATCACCCCGTCCAAAAGCATGCTACAAAACGCACCCAGAACAGTTCTTTAAAGGTAGAAAGCAGAAGAAACATAATCCCATCACCCAGTCCAAAAGCATGCTACAACGCACCCAGAACAGTTCTTTAAAAGTAGAAAGCAGCACCTTACCTTACCAGGCAGTCCGAAGCCTCCTCCAATCACACTCTCTCTAACTGTTGGGGCAAAAGAGCTACAAAGAAGCAGCCTCTTCACCACCAACGGTTAGCAATTTGAATTCCCCCTCTTCCCCCCCCCCCGCCTTTTTTCCAGTCATAACTCGAAGCTCCAGTCGCAAGTCAAAGCAAAATTTTGCACACAAAGCTGGTTGTAACTCGAAATGGTTGTATGTCTGGATGTTTGTAAGTCAGCTACAAAACGCACCCAGAACAGTTCTTTAAAGGTAGAAAGCAGAACCTTACCGTACCAGGCAGTCCGAAGCCTCCTCCAATCACACTCTCTCTAACCGTTGGGGCAAAAGAGCTACAAAGAAGCAGCCTCTTCACCACCAACGGTTAGCAATTTGAATTCTCCATCTTCCCCCCCGCCTTTTTTCCAGTCATAACTCGAAGCTCCAGTCGCAAGTCAAAGCAAAATTTTGCACACACGCTGGTTGTAACTCGAAATGGTTGTATGTCTGGATGTTTGTAAGTCAAGGCACCAGTGTATAAGAGTTGCCAGCAAAAAGCAAATTATTTCTAAAGACATCTCACTATGGGAAAGTCTGCACAGTTAAAGGAATATTAAAAGAAATTCCAAATGAGATATATCAATCCAGCAATTTAATAGCTAAGACTCTTTTGAGTGTCCAAATGAGTACCAATGCATCCACTGAGACTTTGTATTCTAAATATTTTTTGTGAATGATGTAGTTAGCAATTTCTTTGGAGATTTACATGAAGATAATTGAAACACAACGCTGCCTACACCCAATCTGTCCAGTTTACCATTGCCTACTCCGTGAGCAGCTATCAGTAGTTGCAAGGAAGTTTTCTCCCACTCTTGCTACCTGATATATTTTCAACAGGGGGGGTGAGACACTATACTCTGGAAGAAAAGCACAGGTTGTTTCCACTTAGCTGTGAATCAACCTCTGTAATTGAGATGCAGGGAATTGGGATCCACAGATACTGGATTAGATTATACAGGTGGCATTTCCTGCTGGTAGCTCTCTAATTTCTGGGTACAACGTAGCCCAAACTGATAGTTAATGAATGGTGCCTGTAGAGAGAGAGAGAGAGAGAGACAGAGTAGGAATTTAAAAAAAAAAAACCCTCTAATTCCAGAAACAACAGAATGACATCATTTTGTCCTTCCATTGGCAGGCAAAAACCTTTCCATACCGTCACATTTTCTGCAAATGACTAGGAAGGGGCTTTCAATGGACTTTTGCTTTGCTCGTTAATTTTTTTAATATAATAGTTTAATTTCTTTCTACCATATAAAATCTTTGAGTATTTTTAAAAAATCTCTACTTGTCTTTATCTACATCTTTCAAATGTTTTGTTATCTGTCTTAGGTTCCAGCTTAGGAGAAAAGTGGCATCGAATTAAAATAGTATGTAAATAAGGAATAGGATAATAAAACAGTAGTAAAATATTTTAGAACAAGTAAAGTGATACTTTAGCAAACTTGAAGAGGCTGCTATGCTTTGGAGATTCACCTTGGGTTAAATCCAAAAGAATGCATTAGGACTTACTTCTGAGCAGGCCTGCACTGGGTTGCCAGTCTGAGTTGCAACCATATACCAGCTTGGGTGAGAGCAAGCCTCATTTAACTCAGTGGGACTTATGTCATTGATTTATTTACAATGTTCTGGTTCCATTTGCACCATTGGCTTTAGCATGTGTATGTGATGGTAAGTATCATACTGAACAACGTGAGAACCAAAACAAGATGGCCAGGGTCCTGTTAGTTATACCTGTCAGCCTAGCTCTGTCAGTATAACTTGCTGCAGCAAATTACCACAAGTGAAGGAGACAATGTAAGCATTTGCTGCTACATTGACTCGGTATGTAACAAGAAATGTGTACATTGACTTCTCAATTTTGTGCCAGTTTACCACTAAAATTTACACTAATGGACCTGAGCCAGTGTAAATATGTAAACAGGCTTCCTGAAAATACAAAGATCGGCATGAGGGGACGTTTTGGCAGATTTGGGGAAAGTCACAATTTTGTAAGACAGTTTCCAGTCTTCCAGTCAGGTGACCAGTAGCAGTGCTGGCTGAGGGATTCTATAGACCAGTGAAGTTACTTTTCAAAACTCTGATTTTTGTTGTTGTTGAGATTTTTTGATACATTAGAGAGAATACATTGTCTTGAACATTTTGATGCATGAAATGTTTTTCTTGCGGCTTGTTTGAGGTCAAACTAGACAAATTGTTTCTAATTTATGTCCATTTGTCTACCTGTGGGTGATATTTAATATACACATTTCAAGGATATGACTTATTACAAAAATGGAGACATTTGGTACCAGTCTCCTGGCAGTGGACAATTTTGCTTTGCTCCTTTGGAGGCCGTATTGTTGTCTTTCATCTGATGTTTATTTAATTTGCAGGCACCAGTTTATTGCAGGAAGTAGTATATTTGGTGAGCCAAGGCGCTGACCCTGATGAAATTGGATTAATGAATATAGATGAACAACTTCCTGTGCTGGAATATCCTCAACCTGGTCTGGACATCATCAAGGTAAAACCTAATCTGAAAGTGCAATGACCCTTTGATTTTTTTTAACCCCTAAATCTCTGTTTATTTAGCTTTCATTTTCTCCCCACCTTTGTGAATGGGCCAGTTCATTACATTTGAAATGATTCATAATTGATTACTGTGCTGGTGCAATCTGCAACAATATTTTGCAAGGTTCATTATGCATTCAGACAAGTCTGCATTTACCTAAATGCATCAGTAAAGGGGTTGTGAATCAGGGTCTAATTTAAATTCTATAAAATGAAGAACTGGAAATGGCTTTGCAGAGTATCTGGATGCCCCCAAAAGAAGTCTGAATGATTCAATGACAGATGTTCCTTCTTTCCCTTTTCAGCTTCCATTAGGATATGTAAAGGGGGTGGTGGTGGGGTCCGTATATCTCTCAAATAAGTGTGTGTTCTTATTGTTTTTTAAATTTATTAGGCAATTTCTTCATCAACTTGTATTTTAAAAACTCACTTATTTTGGTTATTTCTTGTGCTGTTTTTTCTTGTTCTTTTTCTCTGTGTGCTGCAGGCTGTTCAGTGTCATTTCTTGCTCATTGACTAGAAAGATAGACATGTTGTTATTGACAGTTGAGTTCATTTACTCTTTTATTACAATTCATGCATTTCCCCTCAGGAAGATATCTGCATTTCCCCCTTTACACATTGTACCAGTATGGAACACATGAGAAATTGCTACTCACTCACTTCTTCTGTTTTGGTACTTTCCAGTGCTGTGCAAAGCCATCTGATTTCATTTGTTTCTGGTTCAGTATCTTCAGTTATTGAAGACAGAGCAATATTTACTTTAGATACAGCAGTAAGTAGAAGGTGAAAGACCCAAATAGCAATTTGTTGCTCAGATATGGTGGATGTGAATTCTTCAAGTGGAGTAACAGCCGAGTAACAAACTGTGAAGCGAGGGGGTGGGGGAAACGGTAACAAATCTATATACAAGACACAATCCATTTCTGGATACTATATAAAGATATTTTTTGCATTGTAAAATAGTGAAATTGCACCACACAATCCCTACAAGGTGCAGAAGTACTTTCCAATTTAATAAAAAAAATCAGAGGGGAGAATATATGGTCCTCAGAGGGGTGTTTGCATGTGTGGTTCCTGGTCCTCACAAAGCTTCCCACCTTTGTTGTACATGCCATACTGTGCAGTGGGGCAGCTTATGGTTCAGAATTTCAGGGTGACATGGCTAACTGCTGCTGATTGACCACAGAGTGTTCTTTGCTGTATAATACTGTAGCCTCATAGAAAGTAACTGGTGGGAGGGTCCCTCCATTTCCCCTCAAAACCACAGTACCTATGATTCAGGACAGAAGGGCGCTGCTATGGAGATGAGGAGATGCCAGCTTCTCCTAACCTAGTCATAATCACCTAAATCTTGATTTATCCTGTGGTTCTTTCCAACAGCAGGTTACCAATCTATAGGGTGGGGCCATCTCTGCACAGAAGGTAACCTGAAGCACAAGATGTCCAAGGCTGTTGTTAAGCAAAGGGACTGCTAAAGACTTATTTATGTATTTTTCTTTGTTCATTTTATAGGAGCTTACATCGCCTCGACTCATCAAAAGCCATCTGCCGTATCGATTTTTGCCTTCAGATCTACACAGTGGCAATTCCAAGGTATTTGCTGAACTAACCTCATTTCACATGCCGCCTGCATGTTTTGAACCTGCCCACCCTGAACCAAAACAGCTCTGCAACTTGAATTGTTTCCATGTTCTTAGGTAATATACATGGCTCGGAACCCCAAAGATCTGGTAGTGTCTTATTATCAGTTTCACCGCTCCCTACGAACAATGAGCTACAGGGGAACGTTTCAGGAGTTCTGCCGGAGATTTATGAATGATAAGTGTAAGAAATTTTAATTTTGTCTATAAAGTAGTATCTTTTAATATTTTAACATTTTGTTTTGCATCACTTATTAGCAGCAGGATACTGCACTGTGGTGCCAGTCATGTTTTTGAAACCCTTATTCATATAACCTTTGGTATTAGTTTTCTCTTAGAAGGTAAGACAGATTCCCATTCTTCCCCTACAAATCCGGGGTACCGAGATGGATGGTCTGTATGAGACACAGTGTGGTGTAATGGTGAGAGTCATGGATTGGGCCTTACAGATCCAAGCTGTATTTCCCAGTGGTCCATGAAAGTCACTGGATGAGCTCGGATCAATCACTCATTCTCACTGTGACCTACCTAAGAGGGTTGTTGTGAGGATAAAGTGGATGGAAAGGAGCCATAAATGCTCCTTTCAGATAATTGGAAAATGATGGGGATAAAAATGTATCAAATAAATATAGAGGCCTATACACACATGAATCTAAACTGTGTGATTCTTTCTCTTAAAAAAGTAAAAGGAAGGGTAACACAAAAGAGACTTACTTCTCTGTGTTTGTGGTAAAATGATTTTTGTTTTCTTTTACCTCTTATATATTCAGGGTTGTAGATGCACCTCTCTTTACAGTTTTCGTTAGGGATAAATGAATGGCATCTAGAAAACAAGGCAACAAAATTCGATTTGCTTGTTTCTGATTCTAATCTTCTAGAACATACTAAAATTCTGGACCACTGAGATAATTTTCCTAGTGCGTTAACTTGCGTTTTTTAACCTGTTTTTGCAGTAGGATATGGTTCGTGGTTTGAACATGTGCAGGAATTTTGGCAACATCACATGGACTCCAATGTACTCTTTCTCAAGTATGAAGATATGCACAAGGTAAAGTCCCCCCCCTCTAATCCTTTTCATTGGTTCTCTATGTCAGTGGGTCCCAACTGTTTTGACACCAAGGACCGGGTGACGGTGGCAGGCATGTGTCCATGCATTTGTGCAGAGGCAGGCATCTGTGCGTGCATGTGGGGGGTTGCATGCTTGTGGGAGGTGTGTGTGTGTGCATGCATGCAGGAGTGCGTGCGTGTGTTCCTTTGGCCCTCAAAAATCTGTCTCACTGGCCCAGTCCTTCCAAGGACACAGGCCAGTACTGGTGTGCAGTCCGAGGGTTGGGGACCCCTGCTCTATGGACATTTTCCAGTTTCTTTGGAAACAGACGTCCAGAAGGGGGAAAAAAAAATACCTTTTTGCAACTTTCTTGTTTAGTTGAATTGTGCCCCATCCTTTAATAGAGGTTTGTGACTGGCAATGTTTTGTGTGGTGACAGTTTTTGCAGTGTGGTAGTATATTAAATGGTGGAGATCTACTCAAATCAATCAAATGTAATAAATATGATTTTAAAAGCAGACGTGATTGAGGGAAACCCTCTCTTAAAACAGATATGCCATTAAAATCTCTTTATTAAGTTTTTAGACAACACATTAAAATGTCTTTGTTTCTCCCCTGCTTCTAATACTTTATTAAGTTTTTAGACAACACATTAAACTGTCTTTGCTTCTAATTGTTATGAGCTGGTTTTGCAGTTCCACTCTTCTTATATAAAGCTACTGTTTTTTGTTGGAGGTTTCTCTTTTTTTTCCATTGTAATTTTCTGCTCAGAGTGCCTATTTCATTTGCTTCTTCATAATTTACATTGTTTTTAATATTGTATTGATAAACTCACATTGGCTTTGGATCAAACAGTCAAAAATACTTTAAATAAAATGATACAAATTTACAGTGCTGCACTGTAAGGCACACTGCTGTCAGTAAGGCAGGAGAGATTGCAGAAGAACACATACACAGACAAATGCTTTAAATAAAATGATACAAATTTACAGTGTGCACTATAAGGCACACTGCTGGCAGTAAGGCAGGAGAGAGCGCAGAAGAACACATACACACACACATAAATAACTTTTTGACTCTTATTCAGCTTTGTCTGGGCTGTTGTTTGTGTTACTTCTAGTTGTGCAGCAAAAAAATGTAGATATTTGAAGTGGCATTTTATTCTTCCCAACATCCTCTCCCCTCTCCCCCCATCTATTTATCTGCCTGTGTATATAACTTTTTTTTTTTTTTGGCAGGACCTGGCAACTATGGTTGAAAAATTGGCAAGGTTCTTGGGCATCTCGTATGACAAAGCACAGTTGGAATCTATGGTGGAACATTGTCACCAGCTCATTGACCAGTGCTGCAATGCAGAGGCCCTTCCCATTGGCAGAGGTATGCCTGTGACAGGTATATTGTAAAGCGCGATGGAAGGAAAAGGGAGGGACTGTCAATTTCATGACTCTTAGAGGCAATCCATAATCATAGCATTTCCATGTGTGGCATTTGTGATGGAAGTGCTACCGCCATCTTTGGCCCCGCTTGGTTTCTGCGAAGAATGCTTAATTTATACAGTAGATTCAAAAGACTGTGGTGTAATCTTAAAAGGACCAGAACACATCAGAACACAGATGGGGGGGCAAGTGCATGTTTGAATGCTCCTCAGCATTAAAACACAGAATTGCTCTCTGACAGTTCTCATTTCTAGATTATTTCAGTACTTACTTACCAGTGTTTGCTTTGTTTTATTTTTTTTAACCTTGAGGGCATTCAACCGTGCAGCCCCTGTCACCAGAAGAGCCGTGCCCCATGTTTCTTCTGAATGTGTCGGTTACCGTATTTGCCGGCATACAAGATGACTTTTTGGGCCCAAA